GCTACCCATTTCTCGAGCGACGTGGGATGCTAAACTTGTCGCAGCAACTTTACGGGGCTGGGTACAAACGATCAATCCCTTCTCAGCAAAACCAGCCTCGTACAGATATTGGGTCATCTGCGTACTTTTACCCGATCCAGTTTCTCCAAGAATAACGCAGACCTGATTGTCCTTTACAAGCTGAGTAATTTCGGTTTTTTTCGCGTATATTGGAAGGGCTACTTCGATCTGGTGACATTCTCTACCAAGGGCTTCCCTTAGTTTCTTCACTGTACTCTGAACACTGGAAGTTGGCAACCCTCTTTGGGCGCCTAGAATAGATGTTATGTGAACGTCAAAACGTCGAAATTGTTGGAGCTGTGACTCAAGTTCCTCCTTCTTGTGCTTGAGGACTTTTCTCTCCGAGCATATTTTTTCAAATTCAATTGGAGAAATGTGCTTTTTCACACGAAGACCTTTAATACGACGACTGATTTTCTCTATCTTCTTAGCATGCTGTTTTTCAATTGCCGTCATCTCGTTTTGAAGCTCTGCTGAACACTCGGCCAAAAACATCGCGTTGCGTGTTTCTTCCGAGAGAATGGAAATTTCAATTTTCTCTCCGATTTCCTTAATATTTTCTTGAAGGATTTGTTCTGCTCTTCTTCCTTGCTCGTAATTCAGGAATACAATTGTAAATTCGACACACCCACCATCAGTTGGCTTAGTTTTCTCATGATGAAACGTGATCTCGTCACCAAGATATACACTAAGGTAGCGTGTGATGAGATCTTGATTGACAGGGCGCTCTGAGCGAGGTTTGATGACCAAATGACAGGGTTGTTTAGCGAAAGGTTGACAAGTAACTCTCTTGTTTCCTTCACCTCTAGACTTTTTTCCAGTTTTTGTAGAGTGTTTTTGCGTCTTATCTCTGTATCCTAGATCCCTTGCACGCTTGGAAGTCCCTAAAGTGTCACCAGACTGTTTGCCGGCGATTTTCTTCGGTTTACCTTGGGCACCCCGATGCGTTCTATGTCTGCAATTTTTTTGTTGCAAAGATAGAGAGTCGTCACTTCCCCGTCTGGAAGAAGAATGTGCGCCTTCGTCGTCACTTACATCCTTCACTGAGTTATGTCTAGGAATGGATGCAGATCGGTGACGTTTCATTCTTTGATTTTTTTTACCCCTTCCTGGAGATTCCCTTTCTTCAGCCACTGTAGGAAGTTGTGATTCTACATCTGGTAAACCAAACGGGATACCATCTTCACATATAGGGCTCTTGGGTGTACCTAACTGATCTTTTTCATTTTGGTAACACCAATAAGAATCTGAATCAACACTAACTCTGTTGATGAGATTTTGATTGACAGGGCGCTCTGAGGGAGGTTTGATGGCCAAGTGACAGGGTTGTTCAGCGAAAGGTTGACAAGTAACTCTCTTGTTTCCTTCACCTCTAGACTTTTTTCCAGTTTTTGTAGAGTGTTTTTGCGTCTTATCTCTGTATCCTAGATCCCTTTCATGCTTTGAAGTCTCTAAAGTGTCATCAGACTGTTTACCGGCGATTTTCTTCGGTTTACCTTGGGCACCCGGACGCGTTCTACGTCTGCAATTTTTTTGTTGTAAAGATGGAGAGTCGTCACTTCCCCGTCTGGAAGAAGAATGTGCGTCTACGTCGTCACTTACATCCTTCACTGAGTTATGTCCAGGAAGTGATGCAGATCGTTGACGTTTCGTTCTTTGATTTTTTTTACCCCTTCCTGGAGATTCCCTTTCTTCAGCCACCGTAGGAAGTTGTGATTCTACATCTGGTAAACCAAAAGGGGTACCATCTTCACATATAGGGCTCCTGGGTGTATCCAACTGATCGTTTTCATTTTGGTAACAGTAATAAGAATCCGAATCGACACTAACACTGTTCCCTTCTTCTTTTTCCGGTATATGATTGCCATTTTCATCGTGAAATTGAGCTTCTCCTGAAGACATCTTGATAAGTTTGAGTTACTGTTCAAATCAACGTTTCTTCTTGGTGAAATCGCTCTCCTTTTTGCCCTCGTGAGATCGTTATCCTCTCTTCGTATCCTCTCTCTTCTTTGAAAGAGAAACTGTCTGCAGTCGTGGTAGATCGCTGTTTGAGATCATGTGACCTTGACACCTGAAGCTACATGGGAAGAGATTACGAGCTGATAAGATCAGTGACACAAATGCAAATGAACACTACTATATTTCTCTCAATTTTCTCAATAACCATTATAGGGAACCGTCCAATTTGGGAAGTGGATATAATTAAATTACATTTTTTCCACAATATTACATTTAGATATGGTTTTCAGTCTCCTTGGTAGAAGATCTATTTTGGGAATATCTATTCTAGTCCAAAAATCTTCTTCCTTTCAGAAGTCTTCAGAAAAAACAGACTGCATGAGTGTTCTGACCAAGTGAGCAAATGTTAACAATACTTGCTAGAATGTGTATTGATTGACTTATTGCTTGTTTAAAACAAAAATAATGAGATTCAGAGGGTTACCATTATTTTTCTTACATTTATTCTTGGCAATTATGGATCATTTTATTTATTTTCCTTTTCATGTTTTCATTATTTATACACACCTATATACCTACCACAACTGTAACTGACAGTTTCACACCAGGCCATGAGCTGTACTGAATTACAAATAAGTCTTGTGTTTTAAAAATTTGTTTTCCATCAAGCAGTTTAAAAGACTTCCCTCAAAACCATTGCACAATTATAAAATGATGCTAACAACATTAAAAACTTGCAACAGTTACAAACCACAACCTTTTACATGAATAAAAATTGTTATACCTTGAACCTGCAGGTGGAGATCTCACAATGTGGGATGAGTTGAATGAAGTTTGAAGTCTGTGAAAGCAACA